GGGTGGTGGTGCTATATTGCCTTTGGTAAATTTCATTTTGGTCTTTCTCTGTATTTTTATGGGTCAAAATCATACTATTTATTTGTTTTTAGTTTTTTTTTTTTTTTTATCTTATTTTTAAACATAAGCTTTAGGGGGACCAGCAGGTGGCATGACAGTTAAGATGCTGGAATCCCACATAGCCAAACACAGTTTGGGTCCCAGACCTGGTGGCTTGCTTTCTCACTTTTTTTTTTCTCTCTGGTCAAATTAAATACTAATAATAATAATAACTGAAACTAAGTAATTATTAGAAAAAAGTTAGCGTTAGGGACAAGTAGGCAGTATCGTAGTTCAGGCGCTGGATGGCTACATGACTGACTGCAGTTCAAGTTCCAGACCTGGTTCCTTACTTTCTCTTTGTCTCACTCTCCCTGTCTCTCTGGTGAGTTCATGTGCCCGATAGTAAATTTTAAAATAATAATAAAAAATATTTAAAATTAGCTTTATAATTTTCTGTGCCACTGGAAATCTTCATAAAAATACTTCTTGGGACCAGCGGTTAACATATGGCTATGTCTCTGAACTCCCATGTAGTCGACCACAGTTTGAGTCCTGGACCCAGTGCCCTAAACTCACACCAGGTGTGTGTGCGTGCGTGCCCAAGATCCCGAGAGGAGAATGGAGGAGAAAGGATTGTGGCATGGCCATTCCCCCTGGGGAGCGATTTCTCACTTTCTCTCTGTCCATCTTTCTGGCTAGCGCAGGTGCCCTATAGCAAAAACCTCTCAATAAAAAAGAAAGAAAAGAAAAGAAAAATACTGCTTAATGATTTTTAAGAGAAACTTGTCCAGAGATTATAACATTGGCACAACTTGGTGGTACAGTCGGCCCAAAAACATTCTAGACACATGCACATTGTCCAAGAGCCTGAGGGACTGGAGAGCCCCAGGAAGGGGTCCCAGTGTGGTGAGACCCTGTTGAGAGCCCTTCTCCCCCTCATGCATGCACGTATGCTCTCATGAAAGAGTACATTTTTTTTTAAGAGAGATATTTTGCTATATGGCACGTGTACTCTCTGGAGAGACAGAGACAGAAAGCAAGAAATCACTCCCCAGGGAGGATGGCCACAAGTCAGTCCTTTCTTCCCCATTCTCCTCTTGGGCTTTTGGGTACCAAATCAGCTGCATGAACACGTACCCAGTGTGAGTTTTAAGTCCCTGGGTCCAGGATTTGAACTGACGGAATGGAAGTTCAGCAACATAACCATTACAAATGTGCTGGGCCCATAGAATACTTTTTTTTTTTTTGGAGAGGTTTTTGCTATAGGGCGTGTGCGCTCGCCAGACAGACAGAGAGAGACAGAAAGCAGGAAATGAACCCCCCAGGGGGATGGCCACGCCGCAATCCCTTCTCCTCTAGGAATCTTGGGCACACACACACGCGTGCCCAGCGTGAGTTTAAGCCACCAGGTCCAGGACTTGAACCACAGTTGACCACATGGGAGTTCAACAACATAGCCATTATGCTAACTGCTTGTCCCTCCTTCTGTCCATTTTTATCTCTTTCTCTGGTGAGCACATATACCCTCTGGCAAATTAAAAAAAAAAAAAAAGTATTTCCAAATAATTGTATAAGAAAGGTATTGTATGAGTTTACATTTCTATCAGATTTTTTTTTTTTCTTTTTTTGGGGGGAGAGGTTTTTTTTGCTATAGGGCGCGTGCACTCGCTCGCCAGACAGACACAGACAGAGAGATAGAAAGCAAGAAATCACCCCCCAGGGGGGATGGCCACGCCACAATCCCTTCTCCTCCATTCTCCTCTCGGGATCTTGGGCACGCACACACACGCGCCCGGTGTGACTCTCAAGCCACTGGGTCCGGGACGCGTACCGCGGTTGACTACGTGGGAGTCCAGCGACATAGCCATTATGCTAACTGCTGGTCCCATGACTGAATGCTCTTTTAATCCCAGCACTCTTGCTTATAATGTTAGTTTTGGGATAGAACATTTTTTGTTTGTAGTACAAGGGCACAAAACTCAGAGTAGCTCTCTACTAGGTCTTTATAAACTACGCACCCCACCTCAATATGTCAGCTTTGTCCTCATCTTTCAGGTCTCATCTTAAAAAAATCGTCCTGTCTCGCAGTGTAGATTAGATGCCTTTACACCTCCTCTCATACCATTCAGCACACTTCGTTATATCAGCTGACTATCCGCCTTTCCTACTGGACATTAGGCTCCTTGATTACTTGGATCCTTTCTGTCTTCACCACATCCTAGCATAAATGCAGGTACTTTGTTTAATGAATGAATGAGAGTCTGAATTATATGAAATGCTGAGGTCTTAGTATGTGAATTGATAAGATCACATATACCTACCAAATGAAGTCTTTTCTTTCTTTCTTTTTTTTTTTTTTTTTTTTTTTGCCATAGAGCATGTGTACTCACCACAGAGAGACAGAGAGAGGGAAAGTGAGAAATCCACCCTTTGGGGGATAGCTATACTGCAGTCCCTTCTCCTCCATTCTTTTCCCAGGATTTTCGGCATGTATGCACAAGGGATTTTCAAGCCTCTGTGTCCAGGACTTGAACTGTGGTCAGTCATATGGGAGTCCAGCACCCCACCCACCACATCACCTACTGGCCCCGAATGGAGTCTTGGTTTGTTTTAAATCTTGTCATTTTTTTGTCTTCCTCCAGGGCAGAAATAATATGTTTCATACATTATTAATGTTCCTCTACATCATAAAGACCAAAGAATCGGGAATGCTTGGGTAGGTATTTATGTTTTAAAAACAGAAGTACTTGCTTTATTTACTGTTCCTCCTACGTTGGATTCTGTCATCATATAATTGACACAGCTTGTGAATTGAACAATGGTAGATTCTGGTACTGGTTCAGCCCTGTTGCTGACCACCTCTGCTATCTTGGGCAAGGTCATTAACTTTCTGAATCATCTTTTACCTATTGGGAAAAGGTAACTGCTGGTCATCATTGGCTGTATGATTATGTCCCCTGGGGAAACAACTCAGATAAAAAATAGATTATTGCCTCATGAAAAAAAAATTTTTTTCAGAGGTTTTTGCTATAGGGTGCGTGTGCTTGCCAGAAAGAGAGAGAAACAAAGAGACAAAAAGTGAGAAATCATCCCTCGGCGGGATGGCCACGCCGCAATTCCTTCTCCATTCTCCTCTCAGGATCTTGGGCACATACACACACACCCAGCGTGAGTTTAAGCTACTGAGTCCAGGACTCAAACTGCGGCCAACTACATGGGACTCCAGTGACATAGCCATTACGCTAACTGCCAGTCCCAGAATTTTTTTTTTTAATATTTTTGAAGAGGTTTTTGCTATAGGGCGTGCGCACTCGCCAGAGACAGAGAGACAGAAAGCAGGAAATCACCCCCCCGGGGAGGATGGCCATGCTGCAATCCCTTCTCCTCCATCCTCCTCTCGGGGTCTTGGACACGCACGCACACGCGCCCGGTGTGGGTTTAAGCCTCCGGGTCTGAGACTCGAACCGCAGTTGACTACGTGGGAGTCCAGCGACATAGCCAACTGCTGGTCCCATGAAAATTTTTTAAAAATAAAACTTAAAAGCTTTTTTTTACTCCAAATCATTTCATTTCAGACAAAGCATTTTGCAAAATGTTTGCACTTCCCGAGAGACTGAGTCAGTACCCATTCCATAAATGTTAATAGTAATGGGAGGGGCCAGAAGGTGGCATGGTGGTTAAGGCGTTGGACTTCCACATGGCCAACTGTAGTTCAAGTTCCAAACTTGGTAGCTTGCTTTCTCACTTTCCATTTCTCTCTGTCTCTCTCTGATCAAATTTAAAAATAATAACAATTAAAATTAATAAATATTTTTTTAAAACAGTGGTGGGAAAGTGGTCAGCTAAAATTGTTTATTGTGTCATAAGGAAGCTCACATTATCATTTTGATTCCTTGAAATATTAGTGTATCAGATAATATCTGAACAAGCTGACCCCAGCTAAAGCTAGGGAAACCTGGTCATGTGTGGTCTGGGAGTCTGAAGACCTAAGTTCTGGGTCCAGCTGTCCTGTACTGAGTCACTAAGACTGACTAAAGGGAAGGGCTTGGAGCAGAATATGTTTGTGCTATTTCCACTCCTGATATGCATTCCTCTCTTAACTTTTGTTTAGGGTTTGTAATTTAGAGGTTATTTATGTTCTAAAAGTGTTTTGTCCGAAACAGAAGCCACTAGTCAAATGTGGTAATGTGCATTTGAAGCATAACTAATCTGAACTGAAATGCCCTAAAGTGTAAAATATATACCAGATTTCAAAGATAATATGAAAAACTAAAGAGTAAAATGTTTCCTTAACAATTTTGTATATTAATCACCTACTGATACTGTTTAGGATATAGCGGGTAAAAAGAAATACATACATTCCTGGGACCAGCAGTTGGAGTAATGGCTGTATCACTGGACTCCCATGTAGTGGACTGTGGTTCGAGTCCTAGACCCGGTAGCTTAAACCCACGCTGGGCGCATGTGTGTGCATGTGTGCCCAAGATCCCGAGAGAATGGAGAAGGGATTGCAGCATGGCCATCCCCCCTGGGGGGGATGATTTCTCGCTTTCTGTCTCTCTCTGTCTTTCTGGCGAGCACACGCACTCATAGCAAAAACCTCTCCCCCCCAAAAAAATACATTCTTAAAAGTAATTTCTTGTATTTATTTATTTATTTTTACTTTTAGGCATCTACTAGAAAGCCTAAAATAATGGATTAGATGTGGCTTGCACATATGTTTCTATTGGATAGTACTACTCTAAAGAAAGCAAAGGTTCTGTCTTTAAATATTCGATGCAGCAGTCAGCAGGTAGGAATCTGGCTAAGGTACTAGGTGCTAGATTGCTGCATGGCCAGCCACAGTTCAAGTCTTGGACCAGGCAGCTTGAAAATCATGCTGGGCACGTGTGCGCGAGTGCCCAAAATCCCGAGGGGAACGGAGGAGAAGGAATTATAGTTGTGACCTGCTCCCCCCGGGGATAATTTCTCACTTTTCCTCTGTCTCTCATTGGCAAGCACATGTGCCCTCATGGCAAAGACAAAAAAAAAAGTGCAAAACTTCAAACAGATGTGAACAGAAATTTATAATGAAATATAAACACTTAATCAGCTTCTTTTATCATGTGTTTCTTTTTTAATGCCAAAGAGTGTTTGCATGTGAGAAAGAGACAGGCAGAGAAAATACTCCCTAATGGGGGCTGGTCACACTGTGGTCCTCGTTTTCTCATTTATTTATCCTGTCAGGATCCTGGGCACACTCATGCAGGCCTGGCATGTGTTTCAAGCCGCTGAGCCTAGGATTTGAACTGCATTCAACCATGTGGGAGTTGGCTCCCTCAGCACTGGCCACTGCTCCACTGCCAGCCCGATCAAATTCTTTCATTTGATTTAGTTTTATTGCCAGAGGGTGTATATACTTACCAGAGCGGAGAAAGAAAAGTCCCCCTCTGTGGGGCGTGGCCACATTGCAGCTCTCCCCTCCCATTTCTCCATCCAGTCAGGATACTGGACACACACAGGCATCTTTCTCAAGACACTAGGGCCAAGATATTAATCATGACCTGCCACGTGGGATCCAGCTTTTTATACACAGCTTTTGTACAGGGCCAACTCCTCATGTGTTTTTGCATATTTTATTTTATTTATTTGGCCAGAGAGAGAGAGAAAGCAAGCTACCCGGTCCAGGACTCGAATTGTAGTAGTTCAGAGCCTTAACCACCGTGCCACCCGTCAGCCCTTTCACATAATTGTTTTTTGTTCTTTGTGTTTTATTGAGAGATTTTTGCTACAGGGCACGTACCCTTGCCAGAGAGATAGAGACAGAAAGCAAGAAATGGCCCTCTGAAGGTTGGCCAAACGGCAGTCCCCTTTTCATTCTCCTCTCAAGATTTTAGGCATGCACACATGCCCAGTGTGTTTCAAGCCACTGGCTTCGGGACTCAAACTGTGGTCAGCCATGTGGGAGTCCAGCATCTTAACCACTACACCACCTGCTGGCCCCTCTTCTTGTATTTTTTAATGTAAGAAAGATTAAATACAAAATTCACTTTTATGAAGTGTCTACATTAACATTTTTTCTTTATTTTTTAATGACTGAAATAATCCTTGGTCAGTCAAGAAATATTTTAATAGAAGACTGTATAAACTGGAAAGTGAAATTTCCCTTCTGACCAGCCTCTCTCAATCCCAACTCCCTCAAGATACTCCGTATTAGTGGTTTAAAATTTATGTATTCAGACTGTTGATTTTTTGTTGTTTTTCACTTTGTTTAAAATGTATTCTAGGGGGCTGACCTGGGGCCCAGTGGTTAAGGGAGCTGGGTCTTATATGGCTGACTGAACAGGTATAATCTTACCTCCAGTGGCTTAAAAAACACGGGACCGGCAGTTGGCGTAATGGCTATGTCTCTGGACTCCCATGTAGTTTACTGTGATTCGGGTCCTGGACCCGGTGGCTTAAACTCACGCCGGGTGCATGTGCATGTGTGCTCAAGATCCTGAGAGGAGGGAACCAGCAGTTAGCGTAATGGCTATGTCGCTGGACCCCCACGTAGTCGACCACGGTTCGCATCCCAGACCCGGTGGCTTAAAACTCACGCCGGGCGCGTATGCGTGCGTGCCCAAGATCCCGAGAGGAGAATGGAGGAGAAGGGATTGCGGCGTGACCACCCCCCTGGGGGGTGATTTCTCGCTTTCTGTCTCTATGTCTCTCTCTGTCTGTCTGGTG